ATATTTTTTATGTATACATATATATGCATACACATGTTCATACACATACATATTGCCATGGTTTTATGATTTTTGGTCATCAGTATTCCACACCATAACATCATGTAATGCACTGGGGGTGGGGTTTGATATCTGCCGAATGTTCGTCCGTCGGAGAAGAACTACATTTCCCCAGGAGGCTTTGCGGTCAGCAAGGGGATATAACTCCAAGCAAGGTCACCTGATCCTTCTTCTTCGCCTGCTCTTCGCTGTCTGCGCTTCGCTATCTGCGCTTCGCCGCCTGCGCCTCGCCATCTGTACTTCAGTCACTCAGCTGGACTGCACTTCTCACCCCAGCATTGTGGTGAGGTCTATACAATTCAAACAGACTCTCTCTCTCTCTCTCTCTCTCTCTTTGTATTTTACTAATACTATATTTAGTAAAATCATTTGTTCCACCTCAGATCAGTGCTGTTGTTTTTCAAGTATTTTGGGGTCCCCTGCTTCCCCTTTTCCCAGAGGCGCGGATCCGCAGATTCCTTCGCCCTGCTGGTCACAGAATTGGGCCGGACCAGCCCATAAACTGTTGACACATATATACATGTAAGTATATAAAAAGCTACCCCCAGGAAATCTCTTTTTGTCAGCTAATGGCAGAATCAAAGAAAGATAATTTCACTGATGCTATAACAGTGGTTTGTACTTGTGTTTTATGGACTACTTGTAAATACCAAGAGTTCCTCAAGTGAATACCTTCACTTTGGGAAACAAACATTTGTCCTGTTACCCAAAGTCAAACCATTTTCCTGCTGTAGAGCAGATCCTGCTCGGTTTCCCAACATGCTGGACACATCAGCTATGAGCAATTGCTCCTAGAGTCCGTTGGATAAACAGACACCATGAAATCACTCCATAAAGCACTATGACAGCTCAGGAACACTTGAGACAAGATTGCATGTGCAGATCTAGCTTAAAATTTTAGAAAGATAAATATTTGCCAGTGAGTTTACATAGCACACTCTGCTAAGAACAAAAGCCTCCACTGTGGTGTCTGACAGCCATGTTGGGAACAGTTCAGGCTCCCCTCAGATTTCCTTTGCATGCAGGTTGCCATGAACCTGACAGCACCGACATCAGTGACAGTGAATGACAGAAGAAGAGAGAGAAGGAAGAAGTGGAGCACTAGTCTGAGCTGTCTCACTGGGTATCCTGTAGCCTCCTTCTCCACATAACCAGTTACTGTGGTTTTTGCCAGAAAGCTGAGATGCAGACAGAAGCCTTGGGATTTCTCAAGCCCAGAGCAAGCTCACTTCCTCTCTCACACAGAAGTGTCACCTCTGAAAATTCTTTCCTTTCTGAGCCATGGATCCAGACTGTAAAGCACCTGAAGCCAATAGAGAGCTCAGTTCTTCCTGCAGAGGATAAGCAAGGAGACGGTGTGACTGATTGACAGACATCTGGCAGCAAAAGATGGCTTGGAGGAGATGTGAAGGATTGACAAATATATGGAAGAATGGGAAGAATAACCACAAACTTTTGCAGGGAAAGCTGGAAAGAGCTCAACACAAGGGGAACTGGATGGCAACCTTTGTTTCAGGTACGCAGCTGCGCCACTGGGTCCTCAAATTGCCTAAGCAGCCTTCATAGAAGAACTACACAGCTCACAAAATGCACTTTGAGGAGGGCAGCTATCCTGAGCTAGTTTTAACTCACTTATCCTTCCTGGAGAACAGGAGCATCCAGGATCAACTGTTTCATAGCTCAGTGATATTGACAGTCCTCACAGGCCTAGCAAAGTTCATATCTACCTCCAGCAGCATCAAGAGCTAAAAAAAAAAAAAAAAATAAAAAAAAAAGAGAAATAAAAAGAAAAAAGAATTGAAAAGAAGGAGGAAGAAAAAGGCTGAGAGGTAGGAGGAAGGACTGATTACAGGAGAAATTCTGTTGCCAGAACAGACTGTACCTCTATTTAGAGAAATCCTCCTCTTCAGCCTCATAGTACTGGACAACTAGTAATCACCATCCTTAGTGAACACAACATTTACCTGAGGCCTAAGTCAGCCATTAGACCAACTTCATCGACAAAATCTCGGCACACCAGCCATAGCATAGGATGGCAAAGGCTGGAAGAGACCCATTAAGCTCTCTCATGGCCAGTGTCGCTACCCACAAGATCTACCCACAGGATCAGCCATCTCTCAGCATGCCTTAAAGTGACCTTACTACTTATTTTATTGGGTTGCTTTTATGAGGAAATTTTAAAGGAAGTATCTGAAGAAAAAGCTCACTGAGCACAGCAACAAGTACAGAAAGTGGGGGGAGGTCATGGAAGCAACAGTGCTGAAAGTTAAGAAGCAGCTGAAATAAAGTACTCGCTGCAGCCAAAGAAGAGGATTTCTTTTCATCCCCTGCTCCCAGCCCCTTTCGAACATCAGATCCAATACTGCACACTTTCCTCTGTCTCCCCACCCCAACCCAAGAATGCTGCTTAGTGAGAGCAGAAGGCTGCAGCCAGCACCAGACCCGATGCAGACAGAAAGGATGGTGATGTGAACACACACTGTGATCAAAAGAGGGGTGGCACCCCAATCACGAGATTACTGGAGAGTGAAAGGCAGGGATATCTCACAGAGAAAGTGAAAATCGTCCACTAAATGGCCACAAGTGCTAGCATGTGGCTAGTGCTTTAAACTTCTTTTCCTTGTCACTTTCTGAATTTGATCTTTTTTGAGTTTATTTTAAGCATCAAAAGTAACAACAGCAAGATTCATGAATACTGAGGGAAAAAATCAGCATCTAAACAAGGAAACTACTCTATAAAAAGATTTTTTTTAAATGTAAATCTAGTTTTGGCAAAGTCCTGGGAAAAGAAGATAGAGAACAGTTAAAAATCTAACACACCATTTGCTTTTTATTTTTAATTAACAAATGTACACAAAAGGATGCATTAGCAATTTGTTCATTTTAAGTATGTGAAATAGCAGGGAAAGTAGATAGACAGCATGAGTGAGGTCAGAAGTATTGAGACTGGCTCTGATCATTTCACAGAATCACAGAATTGTAGGGGTTGGAAGGGACCTCCAGAGATCATCGAGTCCAACCCCCCTGCCAAAGCAGGTTCCCTACAGCAGGTCGCACAGGTCTGCATCCAGGCAGGTCTTGAACATCTCCAGAGAAGGAGACTGCAAACCTCCCTGTGCAGCCTGTTCCAGTGCTCCTCACCTCACCGTAAAGAAGTTCTTGCGCACATTTGTGCAGAACTTCCTATGCTGCAGTTTCCAGCCGTTCCCCCTTGTCCTGTCTCCACTCACCACTGAAAACAGTCTGGCCTCGCCATTCTGCCCCCCACATCTTAGATATTTGTAGACCTGGATCAGGTCCCCTCTCAGTCTTCTTTTCTCAAGGCTGAACAGACCCAGTTCACTCAGCCTTTCCTCATAGGAGAGATGCTCCAGGCCCCTCACCATCTTTGTGGCCCTCTGCTGGACTCTTTCCAAGAGGTCCCTGTCTTTTTTGTACTGGGGAGCACAGAACTGGACACAGTACTCCAGATGAGGCCTCACCAGGGCAGAGTAGAGGGGGAGGATCACCTCCCTCGACCTGCTGGCCACGCTCTTTTTAATACATCCCAGGTGCAATCTCTGCTTGTTTCTCGCAGAGAGTTACACCACCCGTCTGTCTCCCTCTCGCAGTCTCTAATGGATCTTAACCTCTCTACCTCCTCCCTAAGCTCCACCACAAGGCTGAGCAGCTCATCCACCTGCTCGCACCTCACGCAGGTGGCATCCCTCCCATCGTCCCCCGGCAGCAGCAGACTCAGGCACTCCCTGCAGCCAGAGACTTGAGCTGCCACAGTTCTGGGCAGTCCCTCCATCTCGGTCGCCACAGTCTTCTTGGAGCAAGCCCGCCATCTGCTAGAGACCATGTTTGATCTTATTTGATCTTACAGTCTCCGGGTCAGTGAGTGGCAGAGCGGTCACCTGAGCAAGGACAAGAACGCTGATGTGTCCTGTTAAAAGACCCACCTCCCACACCAGTTAGCAGTGGGCAGCAACACCCTTTTTTCACCAGGCATGTTAGGAGCTCCCTCCCACCCTCCCGGGGGCTGCTTATACCCTCACAGGGAAAGGGTCAAGGTTAATCACAGAGATAAGAGTGAGCGGTGCCAGCTCCACCCCTGCTGTCTCAGCAGCCTGCCCACCAGCTGCCAGCTGCTGCCACCCCCCAGCATCGGCACCGTGCTTTTGCTGGTTCAAAACAGACCTAAAAAGAGCTTTCAGATGGTCTTTTTTGCTTTCTCCTTCCTTGCTATCCTGCCCTGAAGCTGGTCTCCGCAGCAAATTTCAAATTGTCATGCTAATGGATATTAAGGGAAGTTTTTAAACCATCATGAAAAAGGCTTGATTAACATTGGAGCTAGATTTCACACCACATACAAGCTTGACACAAACAGAGAAAACTCATCCTCCTCATGTCTGTTTAATTCTGTGAATTTCAGCTGTGAAAGCTACAATACAGTCAGTATGATGTCATTCTCTGATTTTGAATGAGTGCATTGACTCAGTAAATTATTTGACAATAAGTGCAAACTGTGGCACTACTTCGTCATGCTAAATTAATTTTTAGAAACTCTTAATAAGGCTGAAGGAGAGACAGCAGCATTGGAGATATTAAAAACCAGTCTAGCACCAAGCAACTCCCAAAGTCCAAATCCTGGTGCCCAATGGTGGACTTCGGGGGAATTAAAAAAAGGGAGGGGTGGATAGAAAGAAAACTGTAGTATGGTATAATGAAAGCAGCAAATGTCCAGTACTCCAGAGGAAAAAAAAAAAACCTTCATTCCTGAAGCTACACACATTTTGAGATAATAGAATCATAGAATCACTAAGGTTGGAAAAGATGCCTAAGATCATCTAGTGCAACCATCCACCTACCATCAATGTTGCCCACTAAACTATGTCCTTCAGTGCCACATCCACAGTTCTTGAACACCTCCATGGACAGTGACTCCACCACTTCCTTGGGCAGCCCGTGCCACTGCATCACCACTCCTTCTGAAAATAAGTTTTTCCTAATATCCAACCTGAATCTCTCCTGGCAGTACGTGAGGCTATTCCTGTCTATCCTACCTAGAAGAGGCTGTCCCCCATCTCATTACAATCTCCTTTCAGGCAGTTGTAGAGAGCAGTAAGGTCTCCTCTGAGCCTCTTCTCCAGACTGAACAATCCCAGTTCCTACAGCCACTCCCCGTAAGACCTGTGCTCCAGACCCCTCATAGCTTCGCTGCTCTCCTCTGAACAACCTCCAGGGCCTCAACGTTTTTTTGTAGTAAGGAGTCTAAAACTGAACACAGTGCGGCCTCACCAGAGCTGAATACAGGGAAACAATCACTTCCCTGCTCCTGCTGGCTGCACTGTTTCTGATACAAGACAGGAAGCCACTGGCCTTCTTGGCCACCTGAGCACGCAACTGGCTCACATACAGCCAAGTGCTGATCAACACCCCCTGGTCCTTTTCCTCCAAACAGTCTTCCAGCCAGTCTTACAGAGCGTGCTCTCAATCCCCTCATTCAGGCCATCAATCAAGATACTGAACAGAACAGGCCCCAGTACCAACCCCTGGGGAACACAACTCCTGACCAACCACCATTTGGATTTAACTCCATTCACCACCATTCTTAGAGCTCGGCCAACCAGCCAGTTCATTACCCAGCAAAGAGTGTACATGTCTAAACCACGAGCTGCCAGCTTCTGCAGGAGAACACTGTGGGAGACAGCGTCAGCAGCTTTGCTGAAGTCTAGGTAGATTATGACAACAGCCTTTCCACTGTCCACCAAGCAGGTCATCTGGTCACAGAGATCAGATTGGTCAAGCAGGCCTTTCATGAGCCCATGCTGGCTGAAATGTGCATCAATCACAGACAAGGACAACGTTCTACCCTTACAGTGCTTATGAGAGTGGCATATTCCAGTACACTGGGAACTGCATATTATTAGGACACTTTAGAAAGCAGTCACCCTGAACAGTACACCACCTTCCTGATCCTGCCAATAATGTGACAACATGCACGTTCAGAGCAGCACTGTATTTCAGCAAGGTCTGTAAGTGTACTTAAAGCAAAAACTCCTATAGCTCTAGTCAGCCATACTAATGAAATCTCCCCTTCTCAGTCTCCACACATACTCCAAAAGAAAAGGCTCATTTACACACCAAAGGGATCTAGGAATTAGACTTTTTGCAGTATTTTGAAGGCATAACAATTGGTTAGAAGTGTTCCCAGTCTGAAATATATATACACACATATATATGTATCTTACTTTTCTCTATACAAAGCAGCATTTGCAGGTACTCAGCTGGCTTAAAAAAATCGTATTTTTTGGGGACCACCTATGCAAACATTAAACGCCTTGATAAAGTTTTGTATTAAGTGTAGAACAACCTCAGCTTCACTTTCAGCCTATGTAAGTATAAGATAACCATTGTAAAAAAAAAAAAAAGACAGAGAGAGAGAGAGGGAGAGAGAGAGAGAGAGAAGTACAGATTGTAAGTGCATTTAACCACGCATCCTTTCCTTCTGCAAAGCAATTCCTATTTCAAAAAATAAATGTGCATCCTAATTCTGAGATGTTTCCAATTTCAGTACATTAAAAAACATATCAAACTTAAATGAAAACAAATTAAAAAATGTGATCTCCTATGCATGACAGCTTATTTGCTGATTTAGGATTCTGGAAGAGTCTCCCAAACAGAATTCGAGAGCATTGAGTTTTTAAACTAAACTTCTTAGCCTAGCCAAGTGGAAATGGACGCTCATGACTTTTATGCAGGAACTTCTACAACTTCAAAATAGTCATTGGGCAGAATCACATAGCCTTTTCCTGCCAGGATGTCTTTTTCTTTCTGAAACTGAACAATCTCTCTCAGTTTTTCAATTTGTCTCTCCTGACGTCGGCATCGCTGTTGCGCCGTCTTGAGCTTCTTTCGCAGTTTTTCAACTTGTTCCTCTAGCTGCTGGATTCTTTTTCGCTGATGAACTGTATCCTCTACCGTATAATTGTGATCACAAAAAACAGCAATATTGCTAGGGGTCTGGAGAGGAGGCATCAATAATCCGATACTTGGATCTACAAATCTGGCATCTATCTGAGATAAATGAAAAGAAGGAGCTGATGGAGATGGCGGTAGCATGGGAGCTGCAGGTGGCGGCGGTGGCGGCGGTGGCGGTGGAGGCGGCGGCGGTGGCGGTGGTGGAAGCGGATCATCTGGCTGCTCTGAAAATTCCTCAGGCTACAACAAACAAAAAAGTACATTTGTAACCATAACATTTTTTTGCAAAACAACTCCATTAGTACAGGCAACTACAGTGTAAACAACTAGGACTAAAATTTAAAAAAACGATTAAAAAAACCCACCACACATTTCAAAGCCTAAGCTTTCAAAACTGGCTCATTTTGTCTGTTTTCTGAATTGAGGTATTTTAAGAAACTTCATTTCCACTCTCTTTTGAAACTCAAATCCTTGATATCTAGAACAAATCTGAAACTGAAGAGCCCCAAAGTCATTCACACTTTTGAGGATATGTGAAATAGATATCCAGGATTAGCTGAGGATCCTGGATGCAGTTCTGTGAAAAAGAGTTCAGCTGACCTGGTAGCTCATCCAGGCTATCCCATTCCCTCTTTCTTTCTACTGCATCCAACCACGTGCACTTTGAACCTGTCAGCTAATTTAACCAGGAACGCAGCAGAACTGGAGAATCTTCTGTTAGGGCAGATTAAGAACCATTGCGCCAAGGGAGGTGAACAAGTTGGCAGAAGCAGAGAAGGTAGGCACAGGAAGACCTGCCTCCTCACAGCTAGGGCTGACCATCACATTATTCTGAGATTGTAGCAGAAGGGTTTGGTGATGTGAGGAGCCAAAATAAACAGCTCTCCCAGCTCTGCTATTAACCCACTTTCTGAAATACAGGATTTTGCTAAGATGACAGAAAGCTATTCACTCTTCCACCATCACTGCAAGAAAGTTCTGTTCTGCATTAAAGTCAAAGCCATGCAATGAGAGATGGCATACGGAAGGAATAAGAAAACAGGACTGGGTGGCTGGCAGATGGGATAGAGCAGAACACCAAATGAACTCAGGCCCAGTCATACTACAGACTTCAACATACTGCTCTAAATAGGTTCAGACACTTGCATGGTTCAGGACAATGCATACCTCTCATCACTTGGGAGGAGGCCAAAGAGAAATCTGATTTTTTCTGCCCCAAAGGAACATACTTAATTCAGAAGTGCACACATAGAGCATATGAGTAAACACATAAATAAATAAATAAAAGCCTAAGAAAGTCCCAGTGAGACACTGAAACCCATTTTTAATTCCCCGTCCCCAGCATTATTACTACAAATAAAAGCATGAAGACATTCACAACATCAATTTTAACAGCCACCAACTGTCCCCTCATCAGACTGGAAGATCACATCATTAAATTCCTTGCGTTAATGTAAAGACAAACCAACACTCAACTTGGGAGGTCCAGATATCATCCTTGTACAGACTACATTAGGTGAAGGAACTGAGAATGCAATTCTGCATTTGGTATTGAGGAGAAGTTTCATTAGTGCTCAAGTATTACTGATCACCTTAAAGTACAAAACCAGCCAACTGCCTGTGTTAGTTTTCATTTATAAGAAGTGGATGATCTAGATGTGCCCACCCAAATCACATGTCAATATTCTAAAAAGTTCAACCTATAGCTTTCAAAGTTTTCAGCTAAGTTGACAAACCAAAGACATAATGTGCAGAGAGTGCACAAGCAAAAACTGCATTGTTGCCAGACAGCTGGATTCAGACAGAGGCATCTATTCACGAGTTATGCAGCACACACTGAGTTACTGCTGTCACAATGTGTCACAGAGAACTCATTATTCATATTGCTTACATGTCACAAATGAATTCTTATTCCTTCTTACATCCAATAAATGGTTCTCCTAAAACATAACTAAAAAAAAAAAAAAGATTTAGAAGGTATTTCAAGAATCATAATGCAAAAAATGATGTATTTCAAAATCAGTATGAATTCAATTTTAAAAAAATATCCTCCTGCTTCACTACTATTCAGTGTCTTGAAGATACACTGAAAGTTGATGTGACATAAATAGGAACAGCACCAACTGCTTCTCCATAAGGAGTCATTCTTTTGTGTGTTCACATAGCCAGGCACTGCAGTGAATGAGAGAATGTGGCTTAACACTACCCCAGCCGCACGGATGTCACTTAGCAGATTTCCCTACACATACATTTAGCTTTCACATTGCAAGAAGTTTTGCAAACTATTTTAAGTGACACAGGAAGTGTGTTGCTCAGACTGTGGGAAAGCATTATCAGACAAGACATAATACAGAAAAGTGGACCTGAAAATTGTCCGTGTTTCACTTGATACCTTGCGTTATGGTCTCTTGTCTGTTATTTCCACTTTTATTTTCTAGATGTTCCTTTTTTATTTCTGCATCAAATCCAATATTGTACACTGTGTGGGAAAATAAAGATGACAGCCTGAACAGGTGACAAGCCTGTGAGAAAGGGCTGGTGTTAGCTTGGAAACACAAGTAAGCTGCCTTAATACGTTCAACACAGAGGCACTAGTTTTAGATACTGTATCAGATTTTTAGATACTGTATATAATCAGTGGTGGCCAAAGTGCACTCCAGAAGATCAAGAAAATTGGCTAGTAAACGGTACTCTGAATTATAATACAATTCTACAATTGGTGTTATTTTGTAGGAGGCTGGACTTTCCAGTTTATTTCACAGAGATATCTGTATAGTCCTACCTGTAGCCACAGCTTAGTAGCTCAGCATCTGGCTAACGAGGACAAGCCACCTGATGTGAAGCTATAACATAATACTGACAATTTAATACTAGCCTCTGCAGCTCTATCTGCAACAGAGAACGCAGGAAGCTCTGTCTTCTTATTTACAGGAGAAAGAATGGGCCATCTGTCCTCAAGAGGTGCAAGGACTTGGATTATCTGTCAAATTTTGGGGGCGGTCTGGTCATGTATGACCAAAGCCCTACCTAACATAGTTAATGACAAGACGTCAGCCTGCAGTAGTTACATCAGGAAAGAAGAATCAGTATCAGAACTGCTGTGATGGCAGATAGCCTTACAGACAGATCAGCAACCGCACTCTGGCACCTCGGGCTGTGAGCAGCGTGCGTTTACCTTTTCACTGGGCTCAGTGTAACAGAATATAGTGGGCACAGCGTTTTCCTTCAGCAGCTTGTTGTTGCACTCCCGCTTGAAGCAGTCGGGTGTGAAGTGCTCCGAGCAGATGCTGCTGTACTTGGTGGGCTTGAAGTTTTTCCTTTTCACCGCCGCCTCCCATTTCTTGCATAGATCGGGCCTGGTCAAAGGAAACCTGACGACAAGAGCCACTCTCAGCGTTTCTCAGAAGCGCTTGCTCCGCCAGCCTGGGGCGCAGCGGCGTACACCCACGCGCCACGCCTGGCCCGCCCCGAGGCGCCCCTCACACCGACGGCGGAGCCAGCCCCGCGCGTCCCCGCCGCCGAGCGCCCCCTTGCGTCAGGAGGCCGCGCACTCGCTGCCCTGGCCCCGCCCTGGCGCCGCGCCCCGCCCCGCCCCACCGCCCGCGCTCACTTGTGGAAGGAGATGGGCTTCTCTTTGTCGTATCGGTTCCGGCAGCGGTAGGCGGAACACGACTGCACCATCCCGCCAGCCCTGCGGCCGCCGCCGCTCGGCGGCGCGAGGAGGGACTCCCGGGTGCCGTTCGCTCACCGTCGGGCTACCATCCTCCCCCCTCCCCCCTGCTAACGACCCTCCGAGAGGGACAGCAACGGGACGCGGCCTCTCCCAACTCCAAGATGGCGGCACCAGCTTCAGCGCAACTCTCGCGGTGCTACGGCGCGCCGCCCGTGCCCATTGGTGGGTCCTTTCGCGGGGGGCGGAGCTTCATGAGGCGGATCCTCCAATCAGAGCGGCGCTTGAATTTGTTCTCGCCCCTCGCTCCGGAACCACCTCAGGGGCTGCTGCGGTGTGGAGGCAGAGCGCCCCCAGGGCGGGAGGGGTGCTGATAGTGGGGGTGGGTGAGTCGTCCTCCAGTGTTGCATGTGCGCTAACAATAAATCAGCGCGTCGGGTTACAAAAAGTTAATGTAAGTTGCGCTCCGTTGTACACTTGCCCTGTATTACTCCATTGACCAACGCCGCTCCGCAGCAGCGGGCTGTTCCCGGCGCGGAATTTCGAGGCCGATCCCCACGGCCCCCGGAGCGCCACAGAGCCCGGGCTCCCGCCGCCTCTTCCCTGTCCCGACCTCGCTGTCCCCGCGGGGGGCAGGAAGCGGGCGCCGATGACAGGCCCGCGGCCGGCCAGTGGTGCGGACAGCGCCCCGTGGCGCACCCTGCGTGGGGGCAAAGTCCGGGCAGGAGCCGCGGAAGGCGGCTCCAGGATCGGGTCCGGGACCCCCCTCAGAGATGGAGGATGGAGAGAAGGGTGGTGAGACAGCTTACGGCCGAGGACCGAATTTCCGAACGCGGCCCCTCGCGGAGCCTCCCACAGCCCCTCCGAGCCGGGGGCCGGCGGCGGGGAGCTCGGGGGAGGCGGCGGCGGGGCGGGCAGACGGCGGGCCCGGGGCGGGGCGTAGGGCCGGTGGCGCCGGGAGGCGGCTCAGTCGCCGCTGAGAGCCGAGGGCTGCGGGCCCCCGCCGAGCAGAGCCGAGTCGCGTCGCGCCCCTCAGCCGCCGCCGCCACAGGGCGGGCACCGGGGAGCGCCGCGCCGCGCCCCGGCCGGCCGGCAGCATGAGCGGCGGGCGGAGCGGGAGAGCCGCCGTGAAGATGGAGGCGCCGTTCTACCCCGAGGAAGGGCTGGAGCTGCTGCCCGACTTCGTGCCGC